AGTGAAGTATTTGAGTCTACCCAGCGCATACTTGCAGAGCATCACATGAAATTACTATAATGGATACATATTAAAGGTCAAATGATTTATTGCAATAAAATATAATAACATATATTTGCGATATGTTATATATTTATATTATTAATAAAACTCTTGCAGTTCATACCTGTGACAATTATTCAAAAAACTATAAAGATTTAGATGATGAATCCCTCTATTGTTTTTTTTAAAGTGTATGAGACTGGTTCCTTGGATATCTTTGGCAACTTAAGGATATCGAACAATCATTTTGTACAGATGTTTAAAAATTGTTTTATACATCTTTGTCAAAATTTTACACTTTTATTTAAGTTTTATACTTGACTATGACTATTTTCTACTTTAACTAAAAAATTATATTATATATATATATATATATATATATATATATATATATATATATATATATATATTATCAATAATACATTTACATTTATATTATTTATATATAATACTAATCCCAATCAGTAAACACCCTAATACACGCTACCACTGAACTTTTTAATGCATACCAGATAAAATTTGTTGCATGAATGATGAATGAACGAGACTGGTTCCGTTTAAAGCATGGCTGATTTCGTCTGCTTGAACAAGATGCGTGTACTTATCTAGACAAGCAAGTGGGCATTCTGATTGTTTTATTATTCTGTGCTACAACCCTTGTTCAAAATGACCCTGTATCTCTTAGAAGGCTATTGGGTATGTTTGCCCATTATTCAAAGTGAATTCTCAACTTTCCGAAAGGGTCCATACATTAGATCATGTCAACAATCTTGCATTGAACAAAGGCTGCTTTATCATGTTTTTAAAATCTGAAATTTACTCTCACAAATAAAACATGCATACTAACAATTTGTACCTACGGCTTGGAGACAGTAGCCCTTACCAAAAAATCTGCTCAAAAATTAGAAACAACGCAAAGAGCAATGGAACGAATCATGCTTGGAATATCACTGAGAGACAAGATTAGAAACACCGAGATAAGACGTAGAACGAAGATTAGGGATATTGTTGAAGAAATTACAAAAATGAAATGGCAGGTCATGTAGCCCGATATAATGACAACATGTGGACACGGAGACTTCTAGAATGGAGACCAAGGATGACAACAAGAAGCATGGGAAGACCTCAAAAAAGATGGTTAGATGACATAAGAGCAGTGGAGGAAAGGTACATTCAGGAGTGGATGGAAAATGGTTGACAAAGAGAGAAGGGACTCTCACAAAGTCGTCCGTTCACGCTATCAACAAAAATTGCCATTTGTTGTTGAAATAGACACCTCAGATACACTTGATACACTTGATTGCTCTTATCTTGAATCAGAATTCCAGATCCGTTGCTTTCTTTGTAAAATCGTTTAGTTCTAGCGAGCTAAACCATTCTGTTGTGCTTGCATTTTACAGTCATCACTGATCAAAAGTCTGTAGCACTTGTTCAACACCAAGTATTCCAGCAAGATCAAAAATAAAAAAATATAAAGATGGCTTTAATAGATTAAATTGACACCGTACGAATATGACATCATATATATCGACCAGTAAAACTCTGCTACCACGACTGCAGTTAAAACAAATCTCAAGTCACTTCATACAGAACTTTGTCATCTAGGCGCAACAAGTATGTTTCACTGGATAAAATCAAAGAATTTACATTTCCCTATAAAGGCCACATCTTTCTTTGAACGCCTTGAGTGACATCAGTGCCAGAATAGTCATCAAGAATTTAAATAACTTATTCATGATGTTTGGAATACCTGCGAACATCCATTCGGATAGAGACAATAAATTTCTAGCAGTTGAATTCAAAAAGTTTCTCAACTCCACGGAATCATAACAAGTAGAACTACTGGTCGTAATCCTTAAGGAAATGGTCAAGTAGAGAAATGGAACTCTACTGTCTGGAAAGCTATTCAACTGACCTGTGAATCACATGAAGCACCTATTGAGACTTGGAAACAATACAGACAGAGAGACAGGAACAAGATGGCTAACAGATTTATTTAATAGAATTATGGAAGTGGTACAAATGCCGAACGAAGGGAGAAGCAGTATATTAATTAGTATCTGTTTACAAAAACGAGAAAGGGAGAGATATACAAAAGGGAGATATACAACAATGCACAAACTACAGCGCCATAAAGCTACTTGTCACACACAAGTCACATCATGAAAATATGCGAGAGAATATTTGATAGACTTCTTCTTTAAGTGCCGTCTCCCAATCGGAGGTTGGATATCATCATCACTATCTTTACTTTATCTACTGCTGCTCTAAAGAGTTCTATAGAACTGCATTTAAACCAGCCCCCCCTTAAATTCTTCATCCATGACACTCTTCTTCCTCCTCTTATATTTCCCTGTATTATCAGTCTAAGCAGTTCATATCGCTGTCCCCTCATTACGTGTCCCAGATATTGTAACTTTCTTATTTTTATTGTGTTTATTATTTCGCATTTTTTGCCCATTTCTCGCAATACTTCCGTGTTAGTTTTCTTCTGTGTCCATGCTATTCTAAGCATCCTCCTGTTACACCACATTTCAAAGAACTGTAACTTATTTATGTGTTCTTGCTTCAATGTCCAGCTTTCAAGTCCATATTGTAGTATCGAAAACATGTAGCATCTCAGTGCTCTTACTCTCAGTTCTAATCTAAGATCTTTGTTGCAGAGAATTGTTTTTATTTTTACAAATGCATTTCTTGCTATTTCTATCCTAGCTCTTATTTCGGTTGTTTGATCATTATTGTCTGAAATCCAGGTTCCTAGGTATTTGTATTTACAACCCTTTCTATCGGTACATTTCCCAAATGTATGTTTGTTGGTATATTTGTTGTCTTTGTTATTATCATGTATTTGGTCTTTTTTATATTCGTTTTTAATCCATATTTTTCACAGAAACTGTTTGTTTTGTTTAGCAGTAATTGGAGTTGTTCATCAGAGCTTGCCATAATCACGGTGTCATCTGCATATCTTATGTTGTTAATAGATCTTCCGTTAATTATTATTCCTTCACTTTGAGATAGTAATGCTTCTTCAAAAATGGCTTTACTATATACATTAAATAGTAATGGGGACAATACATCCCTGTCTAACTCCTCTCCTGATTTCAATTTCTGGACTGGGTTCGTTATCTATTACGATTTGTTCTCTTTGATTTCAGTAGAGGTTTGTTATTATTCGTAAGTCCCTGTGGTCTATGTTTTTTGTCTTTAGAATTTGGACTAATTTTTCATGTCTTACTTTGATTTTTCAAAATCAACGTAACAAACATGCACATCAACATTCATATCCATGTATCTATGAGCTAACACATTAAAAGCAAATAACGCTTCTCTGGTTCCTAGTCCGTTTCTGAACCCAAACTGACTATCATCTATTCCTTCTATCTATCTATTTGATAGACGGATACATGAAGAAACCGAAATATCTGATAATCAGTTTGGTTCTGTGCAAGGCAGATCAACAAGAGATATATTATAAAAGGCATCTGAAGGAAAAATGGCGAAATGTTCATATGTTATTTATTAATCTTAAGAAAATATATGGTAGACCTCTTCAAGAGATTCTGCTGTTGACAGTCAATCAGAAAAGATTCCTCAGTGAATATGTGAAGATTGTGAGAGACGTTTTTGTAACAGCAATTGTTACAAAAGATGTGGAAGAAACTGATAGATTTCATGTAAAAATAGGATTGCACCAGATCTCGGTGCTCCGTCCTTATTTATTCTCGTTCGTGTTGGATCAGATAACAACGAAATTACAGGGTAACATTCCCTGGTGATCAATGTATTCTGATGATGTAGTATTAGTAGTAAGAAATGCTGAAAGGGATTTAGACCAAAATCTGGAACAGGGGTGACAAGCTCTTCAGGAAAAAGTTTTAAAACTTAGTAGGACAAAAACAGAGTATTTGGAATTTTTAATTTAAATATGGAGTTGCTACAAATTAAATGATAACTTTGGATGGGAAAATGATCGTGAAAAGTAATAGTTTTAAGTACCTAGGATCGGTATTACAGAAATATGGAGAAATATATGGAGATGCATGGAATATAATTAGGGTGGGATGGATAAAGTGGAAGGAAGTGAGTGATATGTTGTGTGATAGAAAGATTCCAATAAAGCTGAAGGTAAAATTCTATAAAACGCCATAAAACCTGTTATGAAGTACGGAAATAACTATTCCGCACTGGATTGTACGTAATTTTTAATTTAAATAAAATGTTACTATGATAAATAATTAATATCCAGAGAGAAAATAGATATTCTCAATTTGCGAAAAATGAATTAAAAAAAAATTAATTTTGAAAGTTATAAAAATTTATTGAAAGCTAAACATTAAGATAAAGGTGATGACCACCTTTATGTTGCAGCAAAATACATAGAACAGGCAGGAACTAGGCACAATAACGACTAATATTATCAATAATCAAAGGCCCATCTTTTTCATTGTCCTCGGTATCTACTAGGTATCTAAACCAGGTAAAGATTTTACCTAAGTACTAATCGGGTACAGAGACACTTCTAAGTCCCTATTATTTAGTAGTTTTATGCGTTTCCTTCAATAAACAACCATAGAACGAATTCAGAAATAGAAAAATATCGGTGTAGAGTTGATAAAAATTGTAAGTTTAACATTAATTTTTCTATAAACCGTAAAGGCTTAAAATATTTACTGAAATCCTTTACCTTGAAAACAAATTTAACGTGTCTTTCCGATTTTTGATCTTATGACATATTGTCTTTCAATCTCGATATACTAATGAAATACCCTTCTATACGATTATAATTGTTTTTTTGACAATTTTTTTTACACGAGTCTAAATTTACACAACCGTATTAATTATTTAAACAAGATAAAGGTTTGAGTAAATATTTTTGCCTGAATTTAACTTTCTGGGTAAATAACCTTACAACGTTTGATTGTAAATTTTTGATGATAGAGTACTGTATGTAATTTCAGTTAGAACCAGACGTATAGCTTGAAGTTAAACCACTATAAAAGTGACAATGTTAAAATTTCTGCTCCTGTCTATGTTAATATGGACAGTGCAATCTTCAAGAATCTTAGGAATCTTCCCTACACCTGTTTCGGATAATATCATGATCGGATCAAGACTAATGACAGAGTTAGCAAGAAAAGGACACCATGTTACATTTGTTACTGTGGCAGATTTGATACCACAGCCGAATGAGAATGTAACATACGTCAATATCGATAATGAATGGGAAATTGGAATAAGTGAGTATTTTTTAAGGTCTTTTATAGCATGACAAGATTTAGTAGTAGTGATGATTTTTATTTTGAGCAATAGTAAATGTCAATAAAGACAATTGTACAACAAGACACAATAACGTTTAATAAGTCTAACTTAGTTATATGATTAAATATTAATTTACAGTTACGGAATATGGTTTTAGTGTTATTCTTCTTCTTCTTCTATCGGAAATTCGATATCTAGAAATATATCGGAAAGTTGTTCTAATGTTGTTTACAGCTGTTATTAATTAAGTAAGCTGTAAGTAATTCGTTTGTTGTGCCGCTAAACGGTTACCTTAACTTTCTCATTAGGGCATCCTTTTACGGCCTGGATTATGTCGACATTCGATCTTCCCTTGCAATATATTTTATTATAAGTCAAACATTAGTCAAACTTCGGCGGTAAAAATTTTCTGTAAACATAAAATGCATCCTTACCGCATACTGTTCAGTGGCGGCTCGTGACCTCAGTATGCGGGTAGGCGACACGCGTCACATATACATTTATATATATATATATATATATATATATATATATATATATATATATAACCTAGAGCTAAGATTAATATTATTACTAAAATTAATATCAAACTCACCAGTCTTCCCGGTTGAACCGCGTCGATATCCATTTTGCCGAGCTTTCGGCATCCTCTCTGATGCCTTCCTCAGGGTTTCCGAGGTCTCAGTCTCCCGAGCCCCCAGACACTACTACACTGTTCACTTTTCACTACACTGTCACTACTGAAAAGTACACACTAGTGCAAAATGAACAGTGTAGTAGTGTCTGGGAGCTCGGGAGACTGAGACCTCGGAAGCCCTGAGGAAGGCATCAGAGAGGATGCCGAAGCTCGGCAAAATGGATATCGACGCGGTTCAACCCGGAAGACTGGTGAGTTTGATATTAATTTTTATATAAGCCGTTTAAAGAGCCGGCCTTTGAGCAATCAATTTATTTTTGTAATCATATCACTCAAGAACGTCTGTAATTAAACTATATAGAGCATCTGCAGATCTATTTTCGCTAATAACAGAAATCTCCAAACATCTTTCTGTTATCTTACCAATTTCTTTAACAAAACTGATTGTTAAAATACACTGTGATTTTTCGGTTATATCAGTAGTATCGTCCGCTAGTATAGAAAAAAATTGAGTTTCAATAATTCCTCATGAAATTTAATTTTTTATGTACTTTATCAGCAAGATAATTTATTGTCTTGTTGATTAAGTAGTTGATATTGAAAACCAGTAAACACCCTTTCTGATTTTTAATATGATCCAGGATTTCCTGATTGCGTTTAACTGCAAAATTTAAAATTTCTTTAAAATTACCCATACTTGAAGAATTATGGCTATCATCCCTACCGCGAAATGTAAGTTTCTGTTTTGCTAAAATAATCGTAACATGAATTTAAATATGAAAATAAAATTATATTTTTTCTAACCTGTTTAAACCTAAACAATTGTTTAAATAATATGTTCTTTCAAAGATTAATTTTTTTTTGTCACCAACTGATAAATTTTTCAAATCTCAATATCCTTTACTCACCCAAACATTTTGCTTCACATTTGAAAGCAGTAGATAAGGCTAACAAAAAAGTGAATTTCTAAAATTACTACCGCATCATCATACCCTATTGTTTTAAACGATCTCGAAAATAATCGATTATCGATTAATCGAAAATAATCGATTATCCGAATTTTATCCACGATTAACAGGTTGACTGCCACGGCGGGCGTATACGCCCGCTTCGTAATTTTCCCAATATGCCCCGGCGGGCGTATACGCCCGCTATGCACCTAACAAAATTTTAAGTCTTGACTTGCCAGCGGTCGTATTTAGAATGGATTTAGATATAGTATACGACCGCTGTGGCATACAAGGATCGCATATAATTGCGAGTTTTAGAATTGCTGTACAAATATTGAAGAAAACTGCAATTTTTATTTTTTTATTTTTTAATAAAAAATTAAAGTACTTCTATTACACACAACAAGAAAAAAGGCTACAGTATACTATAAACAAATAAATATAACTACTTCGAATGTATATTATAACAATCTAAACAAAAATGAGGCTTTCCCTCGCAGATATCGCAATAGGTCACCACTTTTTTTACATGGTTTTTGGATATTTCTCCACGAAGTTTTTTTGCATAACAGCCTTTACAATATTTTCTCGCTTTGTTAAAAGGCCCTTCTTTTTTAAGCAGCTTATGAAATTGTGCCGATTTTTTGGATGGTTCTGTTGTTTCATTTTCATTATTTGTCTCTTCATAAGTTAGTAGGGATCTCACTAAATCTTGACGAAACTCTGTAATTTTAATTTTTTTGTCAGCAAGCTGGTTATATATTATGTGAGAATTTACAACCGCTGTCCCCAGAATGAATTCTATCGCTAATTTTCGATACCACTTTAGTGATTTTCGTAAAGATGAATTATAAGAGGTCATCTGATCAGATTGATCAATCGATGACTTTCCTTTGTTGTATTCAATTATTGCCTTCGGTTTATGAACCATACCACTGCGTCGCTGTATGGCTACGGTTTCTGTAGTGTGCTTAGTGGTGAGAAGAAGAACATCCCTTTTATCTTTCCACTTCAGGACGCAGACACCTTTTTCGTTTTCCTGTCCAAATACTTCCCCCCTTTTTAACTTTTTGAGTATGACATCTTTTGGATTTCCACGCCGGTTAGCTCTCAATGTACCGATGTAATGTGTTCTATTATCCAACAAAATATTTGTTAGTTCAAGACTTGTATAATAGTTGTCAGCAATAATAGTTCGTCCTGAATTTAGTAGGTCCTTTGAGAGGTTAAGGACAATGTTAGTTGGTATAGAAGCGTTGCCCTCCTTTTTTTCCTTTCCGGCATATATTCGTAGATTCCATGTATACCCATTGCCGCTGCATAATTTAAAAAGTTTTACTCCGTATTTGTGCGTTTTCTGGGGAATATATTGTTTGAATATCAATCGTCCTTGAAATGGAACTATAGACTCATCTATACAAAATGTTCGACCTGGAGTATAAACCTTTTGAAAATTTTTGATAAGTTTTTCCACTAGTGGCTGCACCTTAAATAATCGATCTCCTTCTGGGCAACTTTTATTATCTGAGAAGTGCCACATTCTAAGCAGCAGCTGAAATCTATTTCGGGACATGGTTTTTGGTATAACCACATTTTTATATAGGTCGTCGTTGCTCCAATACTTTTCCAAAGAAGGCATTTTTACCAGACCCATGTAAGCTACTATCCCAATAAATCTGATCATTTCTTTTTTGTCGGTTGGAACCCATCTGTGTAGTCTTGAATCTTTGGTTACATCGTTGGTATCACACAATATTTGAGTTGCATATAAATTTGTTTGATTTACAAGCTCATCAATAATTTTATCATCAACGAAAGTACGAAAACACTTATAAGGCGATAAAACATTTATAAGTATTGCAGCATAATTGCCACATAGTCCATCTTCTGCAGAGTATTCAAATTCGTGATGATTTCCAATTGGCTGCTTCCAAGTATGTTCTAGAACATTTTGATTAGCTCCAACCTCATTTTTCTGGATATCGTCAGTATCTGATAATTGAGTTTGAGCTAAGGTTTCGATATCAAAGAATTCTTCCAATTGTTCAGGTGAAATATTGTCCCGTTCCCGTTCCAAAGCTTTAGATAACCTATTGTCGTTTGTTTCTATAGAATCAAATGGAATGCTGGCTGTAGCGTCAGCATCTTCTATTTCTTCCTGTGAGGCATCATTGGGCAAGAGTGATGTAGAACAGCTTGGCTGATCCAGAACATTCCTCGTACATAATTTCTTTGAACTGATTTTAGTTGTTTGCAATTTCCGTTTGATATTTGCTTTGGGTTTGGACAATGCTATCTTCGGAGAAAACATGTCTGAAGATGCTTCTATATCTGAGAAATCGGAACTGGATAATATTTCTTCATCACTAGTTGGCAAAAGCATGGGATCAAGATCGGAATCAAGTGAACTAAAGGGGTCAGATTCGTCACCTGAAATAATAAAAAATACGAAATATAGTGAACTACGAAAAAAAATTTAAAATCGGTAGATTTCAAAAGATTTATATCTACTTCAAAAATGAATATCGTTATTACCTGACATTTCAGCATCTTTCAAAGCAAGTTCGACAATTTTTCTGCTTCGCTTACTCATTGTTGCACAACACGCACATCAAACAACAGTCAAAGCTAGACTAAATAGATTGGCACTTGTCTGCTTGACAAGTTCCGACTCGAGTAAAGCGACCGCCAGTATGACGCCCGCTGGCACCACTGGCATAAATATGTCGCCTGTGCCCGGGCGGGCGCATACGCCCGCTAGTGGTTTTTTTGAAAAATTTTCACTATTCTGAATTTTTTTTTATTCAAATATAGAGTAATTATTTTAGAAAGACATGTTTGTAATTAATATATACTTGGCGTTTAGGCCAATTTTTTTTGTTTATATATAGGCAGTCAACCTGTTAATAATCGTGGATAAAATTTGTAAATTTGGCAAAGGAAGGTCCATTACAATAATTTCTAATCTTTCTTGATTGTGGTGCCTTGAAAAAAGCGTTTCAATCAAACTTCAGATTAATCGTTTAAAATATTCATAGCCCGAAGCCCGCCGGAGACCACCGAATTCATCGCCTATGAAACGCCTGACTAGCCGTGAAGCCGTGTTGCTCCTGGGTAAGCGTAATGCCTCCACTACACATCGGCAGACGCGTCTGCGGATGCATCTGCAGATGTTTCAGCACAAGCTGACCACACATCTGGATACATTTGTAAATCATTCAGTATGTGTGAATTCCTGAGAGACGCAATATCTACGCGAGCATTAAAAAAATCTAGGCGTCAGACGTCCGCACCGAAACGCGTCAGCCGATGTGTAGAGGAGCCATAAGGCAGAGACGGATAGACGTTTTATTATCTTTTAGGGTGGCCGCACATAGAAAGAGCAAAACTG